AAAAAAATATTTAGTAGCATCTCAGCCACCTCCACTCTAGAAGCCTGCGGCTTCCCTCAGATAGGATCACCCTACATCCTTCCAGATGTAGCCAAATACCTTAGAGGACAGTTACTGCCCACTGGAAACCACAGCTTTTTTTTTTTCTTTAAAGATTTATTTATGCACACAAGAACTGGGGTACAGACCACAGGTGGGGTAGTGGTGAGAGAATTCACCAGAGACAGAGTGGGGAGCAGAACAGGCAGATCTACTGAAATACACAGCAGAAGGGAGCAGAGAGCAAGACAAGAGAGGTCTGCTGTGCCATATGTGGACTGGCCAGAGATGGAACTCAGGCCATAGCAGTGACAGCACTGAGACTTAACCCCTAGCCCACCAGGGAGGCCAGAAAGCCACTGCTTTAGTCAAGCTACAACACAGATGGACAGCATCTGGTTCCCTCCTATTCCCCCATGCCTCAGGGAACCCCAGCCCAAGCCAGCAACCAGCCTTCTTCACTTCAGCATATCCCAGGAGGTGGCTCTAGACACAGCAGCTCCCATAGCAGCTGTCTGTGCACTGATGCCCTGGGAGATTGGGCCACTGTGTCCCAGACACAGCTGCAGGTGGGTCTAGGACTCTCGTATGGGCCTGGGCAGCTTAGCCCTCACTGACTAAACAGCAAAAGGACAAGGGGAGTGAGAACAGGACGGCCAAAGAAGTAAGATAATTGGAAGCTTGGATTTACAAGTAGTTCCCCTTAGAGGCAGAAGGGCTTAGTCAGAAGAACTCAACAATCAGTAAACACCGGTTCAGCACCTACTGTGTACCATAGGCTGCATTATAGGTCAAGGATATGTGACCAATAAACAGTAGGTCTGGGGTGAGGTGTCAGGCTGAAGTTGGGCCTTACCCCTCACTGTTTGGGGGTGCTGGGCAAGTTACTCAAGCTCTCTGAGCCTGCGTCCCTTCCTCAAATGTGGATAATAGTACCCAGGGGATAATAAAACAGCCCACAAAGTAATGAGAATTAAATGAGATAGTACATTTAAAGCCTGTGTCAAAATGGCAAACCCTCAATAAGTAGATTTTTTATTTAAAAAAATTATGACATGGCCTCTGCCTTGGGCCACATATGGTCCTGCTCCCAAAGCCCACAGCTGGACCAAAGAAGGGAAAGTGAGGTATCTTTGTGATTCTACCAGGCTTCTTGCCCAAGGAGAGATGTCAACCACGCAAGTAACTCCAGAATGAATCGAGTCCTTACAATGAATTCCATCTTTTGTCCTTTTTTCCCTTTATTGGTGTGGTTTAACAAGTTTCATCTGGCTCTTTTTTTGTGGTTCATTAAGTAAAATGTTGCTCCCTCCTCCTACAAGGCTAGCAAAAGGACACTTGGGAAGTAGGAACTGCTCTAGGGAGCCCTCAGGGAAGCTCCTAACCCCTAGCCCCAAGACTTGGCTTTGCTTGGGCCCACCCTCTAGATTCCAGAGATTCCAGATATCTTGGCACCAGGTCCCCAGGGCCCAGCTGAGCAGAGCCCCCTCCCCCGGCCCCCACCCCGAGACTACTATGGTTGGGGTCAGAATCTATAGCACAAACAAGTAGACTCTGAGCTGTCCTGCACAACAGGACTACTAGACCCCTGATGTGGCTTCCCTTCTTTTTTCTGGGCTCAAGTCACCCACCCCCACCCCACATTTCCCAAAGCCTCCAGCACCCCCATGGGGGCCCTTGGGTGGGGAAACTGCAGGATTGAAGAACTCCTTGACCCAGATTCCTTAGTCCATACTAAAGAAGCTTCCTGGTGACCTCCCTGGGGTCTAACTGCCAATTACCCAGAAACAAATTCCCAGCACAGGGCGCCCTAGGGGCTTTCTTTGTCTTCCCTGTCTCAGCTGCTGTTTGGTCTGCTCTCCTGGGGCCACTGGAGCTGATTTCCCTAGCTGGACAGTGGGTTGGGTGGATTGACGGTGGGTTGACTTCAATTTCCTTTGAGAATCTTTACCCCTAGCACCTCCCAGTTGGTTCTGACACTTGCTTGCCCCAGTCCCACTCTGCCATGTCCAGAGGTGATGGCAGTCACCCCATGCCTCTGGGAGGTTACTCCAATTGCTCCCACTGCCATTTCTGTTTTCTCTATCTTGCAGCCCAACTCCTCCTTCCGGCCACCTCAGAGAGACTCCCCGCCAAGCCTGGTGGCCAAGGCCCAATCCTTGCCCCCAGACCAGCCCATGGGGACCTTCAGCCCTCTGACCACCTCGGACACCAGCAGCCCCCAGAAGCCCCTCCACACAGCCCCAGCCGCCTGCCCCCCACCAGGCCGGTCTTCCCCGGCAGGCTCCCCGCGCACCCGGCATGCCCAGATCAGCACCAGCAACCTGTACCTGCCCCAGGACCCCGCAGCAGCCAGGGGTGCCCTGGCTGGCGAGGACACAGGTGTCGTGACACATGAGCAGTTCAAGGCTGCACTCAGGATGGTGGTGGACCAGGGCGACCCCCGGCTGCTGCTGGACAGCTACGTGAAGATTGGCGAAGGCTCCACCGGCATCGTCTGCCTGGCCCGGGAGAAGCACTCGGGTCGCCAGGTGGCAGTCAAGATGATGGACCTCAGGAAGCAGCAGCGCCGGGAGCTGCTCTTTAATGAGGTGGGAGGAGAGGGTGTGGGGTGCAGCGGGGTGCACAGAGCCAGGCTGGACATCTGTGAGCAGGGCAGTGGATTGTGTGTGGCACTCAGATCTCCCCGCCTGTCCCCCAGGTGGTGATCATGCGGGACTACCAGCACCTCAATGTGGTGGAGATGTACAAGAGCTACCTGGTGGGTGAGGAGCTGTGGGTGCTTATGGAGTTCCTGCAGGGCGGGGCCCTCACGGACATCGTCTCCCAAGTCAGGTGGGCAACTGGGAGGGCTGGGTCCTGAGTGCTGGTGGCCCCCACCGTTGCCCTGGCTGGAATATCAGACAGCCTCAGGTTCAGCGGACTTGGGGGCTATCAGGTCATCCTGAATCCCTCACCCCATCTTTTGGAGTTAGAAACACAGAGGCCTTGGGGTAGGGATGACAGGTTCTGCAGCCCTGTTTCCACTAGGGCTCTCGCCTGACTGGGGTCCCCTATAAGGGGCAGCTGACCAGCCCATGTGCCTTGCAGTCCTGACAAAGTTAACATTCTCTCCTGCTGCTGGCCCTGCCTTCCCTGTCCAGGCTGAACGAGGAGCAGATCGCCACTGTGTGTGAGGCTGTGCTGCAGGCCCTGGCTTACCTGCATGCCCAGGGTGTCATCCACCGGGACATCAAGAGTGACTCCATCCTGCTGACCCTCGATGGCCGGGTAGGGCCCTCCCCGCCTCTCCTTGACCCTTACTTCTCTGCTCCTGCCACAGCTCCTCCTCCTAGTTCATCACTTTCTCCCTTTCAACCCCAACCCAGGTGAAACTCTCGGACTTCGGATTTTGTGCTCAGATCAGCAAAGATGTCCCTAAAAGGAAGTCCCTGGTGGGAACCCCCTACTGGATGGCTCCTGAAGTGATCTCTAGATCTCTGTATGCCACTGAGGTAACAGTTTCCTCCGCTTCCCGGTCTTCCAAAAGAGGCTTGGGAACAGTTTTTCCACTTAGGGTCTCATCCAGCACCCTCCAGCAAAACAGTCCTGGTACTTAGTTCCCTCCCCACTGCCCCCCACCTTGGCTTATCTGCTCTTGCTCATAACTTTGCTGCCACAAAACTGGTCCTCAGAATGTTCCCCACCAGCTCAAGGAAAGACTGGGTATGAACAGGCTTGCCCCTGTGTGGTGGCCTTCCTGAGAGTTGCTACCAGGTGTGTCCCTACAGTCAATGGTCACTCAAGCAGGAAGTAAATGACCTCAGGGAGAGTGGCCAGGAAGGAGACTGACTCACCAAGCAGACCTGGGGCCAGCAGCTCCTTCTCCCTGCAGCAAGCTGGGATCAGGGGGGTCCCACTCTGGTCAGTGGGGTCAGGGCCATTCTTCTCTTGCAGGTGGATATCTGGTCTCTGGGCATCATGGTGATTGAAATGGTGGATGGGGAGCCACCCTACTTCAGTGACTCTCCAGTGCAAGCCATGAAGAGGCTCCGGGACAGCGCCCCACCCAAACTGAAAAACTCTCACAAGGTCAGTGGGTGCACAAAGCGTGAGCTTCAGGTGCCATTCTTCCTGAGACCTAGGGGAACAGAGCCCGGGCTCCCAGCCTTTCCCTTCCACAGACACCAAAGGGTCTGAGCTCCTAAAAAGGGCTCTTGTTTCTTCATGTAACACCTGCATCTGGGGGCAGTCACATCTCAATACAAACTCCTGTGGTCACCCCAAGGTTCCACTCACAGCCGTATAGCAGTCACTGCTAGCAGGCAAGTGTCAGAATTCCTCCTCAGGAAACCCTGAAGTCCTGGGGAGGAATCTAATAGAGCAGGAGCCCCTCTCCCCTCCCCTGTCAGGGGAGCCCATCTAGGCTACAGTTTTTCCTAGTCTATCACACAAATCGCCTTGTCCTCCATCTTTGTACATCCAATCGCATCTGAGTCCGTTTTCCCCTTAAAACAAGTGAGTATGTGTGTGTATATTTGTATTTAACCCTTTGCTAACAAATCCAGCCCAAATCTGTAGGCCTTACCAGTGGACACCCCCTGCTGGCCGCCAGATCAGCACAGGGCTGAGAAATGGCACTGCCCTCTGGTGGCCAGATAAGAAATGTCCTAGAGGATTGAAGTCCAGTCCCTAAGCTGGCAATAGTTGTTCCAACAGTTAGATGGGTGAACAGACAAAAGACACCTTTTGATACACCTGACCCTTTGGGGCCTTACACTACTTACCCCAAGACTAATGGACCAAGACTAATGGACCAGGGAGACTTCCAACTGACTAATTCCTCAGAGGAGGTAGCCTTGTGTAACCAAGCAAGACAGCCTCATCCCAAGGAATTTGGCTTAAAATGAATCAAGATATGTCCTTGACTTTGACACTAAGGCTTACAGCAATAAAGACATCTCCTTTTTAGGTCCCACCTGCTTGTTTCCTATTCTTCAAAGTACTTCTTTGTCCCCGGACTTTTTTTTTTTTTAATCTCTGCTAAAGTTCTACTTGGAGCCAGAGCACACACATTTTATCCTTCTCCCCTTTTGCAGAGGAGTAAACTGAAGTCTAGAAAAAATTGCAACTTGTCAAGGTCAGGGACAGACCTAGGACAGGCTCCCTGTTGTATGCCTCTTCAGCAGAGCAGAGCCACTCGGCTGAGCCTGAGCCCAGGAAGCAGGATGAGGAGCGGCTGCATTTGCAGCTCAGCTGCCCCTGGGCAGGCATCCTAGTTCCATTGCTCAGAAGTTCCCCCTGGAGGAACTAGAGCCATGCTGTCTTTCCCTACTTGGTCATCTAAAAAGTACAGTGCCTGGGAGTAACCAGAAGTAAAAGAATTCAAGACTTTCAAAAGATGGTGTGATCAGGTTGACAGTGTACCCCAAAGTGATTGCAAACCATGGCTTCCTCCCACTTCCCGGCCTTCACAGGTTTCCCCAGTGCTGCGAGACTTCCTGGATCGGATGCTAGTGCGGGACCCCCAGGAGAGAGCCACCGCCCAGGAGCTCCTGGACCACCCCTTCTTGCTGCAGACAGGACTGCCGGAGTGCCTGGTGCCACTAATCCAGCTCTACCGCAAGCAGACCTCCACCTGCTGAGCCTCCCCAGAGTGCATCTGCCGCGGTGTCCACAGGCAGGGGACACTGGGCAGCCAGCCTGCCTCAATCTCTCAGTATTCTCTCCAAAGATTGAATGTGAAGCCCCACCTCTACCCTCCTGCCCCTCAGCTCACTGGGCCAGGCCGGACCTGCCCCCTCGGTCTCTCTCCCTCCCAAGTGAGTCCCCAGTTGCCTTTAGGATGATGGAGACCCTTTCTGCAGGATGACCCTTTGTTATTTGCACAGGGATATTTCTAAGAAACTCAGAGACCAGCGCTCCAGACCATTGAGGTCAGTACAGCAAATAAGGCTGCTGTACTTTTTTAAAGGTACTGGAACTTTAGCATCCCAGGGCAGTTGGCCCTTCTTCACCAGGATACCTGCTGTTCTCAGCTCCAACTCCAAACTCTGGGTCTCAAGAGGACCACAGGGAAGGTTTTTATTGCCTGAATTCGTCTTCCTCCCTGTGTCTGACTTCCTGAAGGCACAGTCTCACCTGTACCTACCTGCTTCCTGACCCTCCTATACCAACAACACTTTCCTACCCAGCCTGCTCTGAACTGTGAACAGTCTGCTCCAAGGCTGCAGGAAGGGGAGAGGCATTTTCTAGATGAAAAGAGAAAATAAGGTTGTGGTAAAAGTGGTCTCACTTTACAGCATTGAGAGAATGCTTCCTCGCGCGTGGGTACGTGTGTGTGTGTGTGTATGTGTGTGTGTGTGTCTCCCCAGCTGGTTTCAGTAAGGCTTCCCATCCTCTCTCCCATGAAGTTCTGCTCTTAAGGGACCTGCTCTCTTGGCCTAGCTTCCCACCTCGTTAAGTCCTGTTTTTACCTGACCAGTGAAGAAGTCTGTATGTATGACTTGCACATATCCTGGGGCCTTGGCGGATTTCTGAGTTTCTCCTGTACTGTGGCATCTGGAACCAGAGACCAGAATGCTAAGGGGAACAAACTATGTGTTACCCATGAGCTTCATCTAAAAAAACCAAGTCTTCAGGGACCCATTCTTTTCAAAATCCTGGTCTGGAGGAGGTGAACCAGCTCCCAGGGATCCATCACGCTAAGAGAATGGATACCCCATTTGTACAAACCATCAGTCCCTGACTGCCTCCTCAGACACCTGTCTCCTTGACCTGCTTCCCACCACCCTCCTCCCCACCTTCAGGCTATGGTGAGACAGGGATTTCCAGGGAAGAACTCCTGGAGTCTGGACCCCATCTAGATAATATTTTTAGATTCCTCTGCTCCCAAGTGGAATGCTTTGGGGCCAAAAAAATAAAAAATAATTGCAAGGACTTTTTTTAAGGGTCAGAGTTTTAAAAACAAAAGCATCTTCCCTAGAAACTTTTGTGAATTGTTTGCATTTGTGCCTGTTTTAAATTAAACTTAAGTGTTCAAAACCTCAGGGCTTCCTGTTGTCTCTGGGAATGGAGCCAGCCCATCTTCAAACTGTATACACCCTGGAGTGGATGATTGGTGGGGCCCTCCCACCTCCCCCATGTGAGTGCCCCAGTGGTCACCCTAGTCCCCAGAAAACCCAGCTTCCTGCTGGCCTAAGGGATTGAAATGAGGGTGGAGAAGAAGGGAAACAGGAAGTAAAATGTCTTGGGAGGAATGAGAAATAGGGTTCCTTCCCAAAGGAGAAGGGGCCAGCCAGGAAAGCCAGGACCCAGGCCATGCTTGCTGATGCTGTTGGGACTCTTCTCTGGCCAGTTGAAACCCATCTGGCCACAGGGCTGATGGCCACTTTTTGTATCAGCTTCTCCCTTCCCCCATTTGCTTCTCACTGGGTGAAAAGTCAGAGGCTGCTATGCTCAAGCTATCCATAGGAAGAGACCCGGAGGCTGCTCCCAGTGAGAAGCAGCCTCTGTTTTGGTCCTCAGACCTGAGAGAGACTGAGGAATTATGAAAGAGCAGTGCAGTAGCTAGGGGTCAAGAAGCCTGGGTTCTAGTCCTGGGTGGGGGCAGTAGATAAAACTACATTTCAGTTACTAGTTCTGACACTGCTCCCAGTACTTCCTGAGATCTCATCCTATCCCCTAACTCAGCATTCACAGGAGCACGGAGGCATGCAGACGGCTACCCACAGCATCCGCACCCACACAGTTGCCTTGGGCCCAGCACCCAGTCCCGTCAGCTCAGTACAAAGCAGCACCCATGTCTTACCTTCAGGAGGCAGCCACATTGGGATGGGCAAGGATGGAGGCTGACAGAAGGCAGAACCTTCAGAGGAAGCAGGCACACCTTTCCACCTCTCCAGAGGGAGCTCAGAGCCAGGAGCGTAGGCAAGGCAAAGAGAGGCCAGTTCTCGCAACTGAACAATACTGGATTTATTAACTACTCTTTTGAGTTCTAAGAGTCCTTCCAACATAGTGTCATTCCAAAAGCGTGTGCACAGGTCATCGAGACTCACACACAAACCGGTACCGAGCTCCAGGGGCCTGGGTGACTCTTCACGGTGACGAAAGCAACAAGAGTTGGAAAAGCAAAATGTTTAGAAAAGTCTCTTCTAAAGCGGAGACAGCTAGCGAGGACCCCAGGCTCGATGTCCAGGAGTGACAATGAGAGGAAGTTGAGGAGAGTGAAATGTAACTCGTTTGAGATCTGCACAGAGACGGGCCTGGTAAGAAATCTGCCAGGACTGCAAGTCAGTGAAACGTACGATTCAGCTCTGACAGGAAAGATCTGTTGTGGTGGTTTAGAAACATCACTTTCAAACACCAAGCTCTTGGTGACTCCATCAAAAGGAGTCATCGAGGTGGTTTACTCAAATAGAGGGGCCCAAGGTGACATTCAACCAGAAAGCCACATGTCAGCCACACTTGAAAAGATGACAGCACCTTCATCACAATGTGCAACCCAGACCTCGTGGTGTTTTAAAGAAACCAAAATACTTGCATTCTTACACCATTAAGAACTTCTTGAAAATTAAACACGGTTGAAAAGGGAATAAATAAGCAAGCAAGGATCAGAAAAAAGGAATTGGTGCTCGGGGTGTCCGATAATTCCCCCATCCCACCTCAGACCCCCTCCCTCTGGCTTTTGAGATGCTTCAGTATTGATCACCAATCACTCAGACACTGGGGCTGAGGAGAGGCACATGTTTGGGGACAACTGAGTGAGGACTGGGCAAAACACCCCAGAAAACAAATCCCATCAGAAGAAAACTGTGTGTAATCAGCAGGTGCCCACGTCCAGAAATCATGAAGGGGAGGGTTGGAAGCTCCAGGGTTTTTTTGTTTTTGTTTTTGTTTTTCCAGAAGAGAGCAGGAACTCTAGGGACACAAGGTTTTCACTTGGAAAGATCCTGGGGTCTTTAGCGAAGGGTCTGAGCTCCTGCTACACCAAATGCGAGTTTTGTTCATTGTCCCTCACTTCGCAGCTGTGAAATGACTTCAAGTATCCGGATTTAATATACTACAAGAGGAAATGGGTTAAACTAACACAGAGGGAGAAGTGCACAGCCGGGATCTCAAATAAAACCTCAAGTCTGAATTCCCAGCCGGGGCGCAGCCGAGGAGCAGCCGAGGAGCGGGGTGCTGCCACAAGGGGGCACCAGAGATCACGCCCAGGGAGTGTGGGGCGGCTGCCGCCGCCTCACTGACCCTGGTGGGGTGGACGGATTGACGAGGTACCCCGACGCCTCCACAAGGCCCACTCCTGGTAACCCACCTCTCACCCCCACGCCCGGTTCCTCAGCACAGGTGGTTCTGCCACTGGGCAGTTCCCTTCGAGTTGCTTGTGAGAAACCTCCGGTTCTGCCAAGACGAATGGATCAACGTCTTGAAACGTCCCAGCACTGGTAGGCGAGGGGGCTGCACGCTCAATCTTCGGGGGTTCGCAGAAAATAGCTACCCGGATGCTAACTAGCGCTTCGCGGGGGCCCTGGGGCTCACGCTTCTCCCGGCTCCCTCAGCCCCCATCACTGGGCCTCTGTCTGAGGTGAGCGGGCTGCTGGGAAGGAGGGGGCAAAGCAATAGGCCGGAAAAGGGCCTTTAGCCTCCTCTCCGCGGTTGCCCCTGACTCACTAACCTGCCCACTAATAATACTGAGCCTGACTGAGTCGCCCGCGTTGGGGCAGAGGCAGGGGTCCTTGGTCTGGACCTCTGGCATCCATCATCCGCCCTGCCCTCCATTAACCGCCCAGCGAGAAGCAGGAGCCTTTAACAACCCCCTTCCAGCTCTTGCTGGAGTTTGATGTAATTTAAACCGGGACCTGCGGCTCGTGTGGGCTTCGGACTCCCGCGCGCCGCCGCCGTTTAACGTGGCAAACACTTCAGTCAATTATCCCCCTCGCGGAGCTTCTATTTAAAGAGACATTGTCAGGTTCTTAAGCCTCGGATCAGACCTGCTGCTTTCTGCTTCACATACAAAGACTCAAAACAAGAGTTCTTTGAGCACTGGAAGAAATACAATTAAGCAAAGCCTTCGCAACCGTTCCACCCTGCGGGAGCACCCACGTGCAGGACCGGGAGCTGGGAGGCGGGGAGGGTGAGGGGGCGGGTAAGTGCTAAGTCCTTTCCATTTCAAGCCTCTGGGAGGGAGAGGAAACGGGGCTGGGCCAGGAGGGGTGAGACCTCAAAGATGGAACTCAAATGCAACCCGGGTGAACAACAGGCTGGTTCAGGGGCTGGCACCTGGACTGGGAAGAGTGGCAGTGACCCCACATTATCGATGAAGTTGAACCCTAGTTTCCCCCTCCCCAGCAGAGGCAGAGAAAACTGGAATTACCCAGAAACTGGTTCAGGAGATAACTGGCATTCAACACAAGGAAGGGGGTGAGGGGGAGGGCTCTTATCTTCTTGAGGCTGGAGTTTCTCTCCAGAAAAACTTAACCTCTAGATCAATCCAAGGAAGAGGGAGGAGGGTAGGCCTTTGTTGTCTACTCTTCTGCTGCCTGGCTTCCAGGGGGGAACGCAGAACCCTAGAAGGGAACACAGGAGAAACAAGTCCACCATCCTGGCTAGAAAGCTGTAGTCTATGGGACCAGTCTCCTCCTAA